ACCTGGATAAGGTCCATCCATACACAATGTAAGGCAAAGTTAACTACGTGGCAGACAAGATGCCCTGGTGGAACAGTGGCTAAGTGTGGAGGCTGTAACCACAGGGTCAGCAGTTCAAACCTACCAGCCACCCTGAGGGAGAAGGACGAAGCTCTCTCTGCTCCCGTAAAGGTTTACAGCCTCAGAAACCCTAGGGTGCAGTTCTACCGTCCCACAGGGTCAGGATGAGTAGGTACTGACTTGTAGCAGTAGGTTCTTATGTGGCTTGCACTATTTTAATCACTTTACACATTATTTATCTTCAAAACAATCCTATGATGCAAATGTTACCAAGTCAGTAGGACTATATCCATTATGGTGGTAAAAATGACGTTCCAGAAGTCCCAGTTCCGAAATGAGTCCCCGTTAGAAGAACATCAAGTCTGTGGCAGAGCAAAATCAGAGGATGGACAGTTCAGCACCGGGCTTATTCTTCGGGGAGCAACCGTACTGCGGTGGGCCCAGGCCTCGGTGACCTATACCATTATACCCACCCCAAGGCCTGCCCCGCCACCACTGCTGCCAGAGCGGGTGCTAGCTGCTCCTGATGAGAACGAATCTGTTCTCTCCCAAGGTGCTGTGCATCCCCAGTGCTCGCTCCCACTGCCAGCCAGAGGACCGCACATGGAAGGAGCCGCGGACGGCTCAACTGATGCTACATTCCTCCCACTGCGAGGACGATGATGACAGCGACCAGCCACACGTGCCAGGCCCTGTGCTGCACGTGACTATGCCATGTAAACACAGAACTGTAAGAGGAAGGCCACTTTGTCATACCTTGTAGAGCACGCTCCGGTCCCCCATCACTCGGCCCTGGGAGTGAACGTGCTCACTGCTGCGCTTCCCCTTCACCGTGACGATCCGCTGCACTTCTGGGGGGATGGTCAGCTCCCAACTCAGTTCAGCGGTGAGGTCCTGGGGCAGGGGCAAGAGAGCTGCCACTTACACCCGAGTCCGAGCCAAGGGCCGTAGCTCACATTCCGGAAGCTTTGTGTGTTAAGGAGCAGAGATCAGTGTGCATCCCGGGGAACCCCAGAACGACAGGAAGCATGTAGTTTGTGAAGAAACTGTAATGCTCAATTTATTCTGAAAGACACTAAAGCCAGTGTCCCAATATCTGCGTGAAGATGGCCCAAGAAGAAACAACCATTTATTGATGTGCCCTAAGCCCCTGCACACCGGGCCCACACTGAACTACCTCACTGGCAGAGACCTCCAAGGGAGTCCGACACAGTTCTGTATGGCCCCAACTCAAAGAAACCTTTCACTGCCGCCGAGTCCACCCCACTCGCAGGGGCCCTACAGGACAAAGTAGAAGGGCCTCTGCATTTTGGAGATGGAAACTCTCCACCCAAGGACAGGGCCTCATCTTCCTCATGGCTGCTATTGTCACAGTGCTGACCACACAGGCTGGCCGGCCAGCCCACTGGGGCTCCTCTTACTGTCGCAAGAAAGAGATAACGAACCATTTAGAGTGAAGCGTTTGCACATCTACACTAGATGGAGCTCTGTGGACTAGTGACTGGAAACAGGGACATGGTCTTCGGAATGCGGTGGTTCTATCTGCCTATCAACTGACTGTCACCTGGTGTATACTGTTGGTGTAGCGGCTACATGCTGCTCCACACAGACAGGGCTGTCTACTCCCAGAAAGAGCTTCAGTCTTGGAAACACACAGGGCAGACTCAATGGCAGGGAGTTTAGGTTTGGGGTCATACTTTGGTAGGAGCCCCAGTGGCGCTGTGATCAAGCACTCAGTTGTGAATGGAAACATCAGTGGTCTGAACCCCGCAGCTGCTCTCTGGGAAAAAACGGCAGCGGTCAGAGCCTGTGAAACTCTCGGGCAGCGCTACAGGGTCACCATGAGCGAGCGGCAATGGACACAATGGCAGCGTCGGGCATTTTCCTGCTCCTTTTGTGAAGGTTCACGGAGCAGTCAGCTGGGGAGTTTTACACTTGGCTGAGTGCGTACCACACTGCACTTCAGTACAAAAAGGCTGATTCGGAAAATCGTGACACAGAAGATACATTAAATGAAAACAGCAAATTTCAAAATAATTTCATGCACCTCCACAAGGGGAAAAAGGAAACGTGTGACATGAATGAAATATATGCGAGGGGCTTCCAAAAGCTGGTGGGAAATGAAATGAAAGACATTGACCGTGTTTTCATGTCCCCTCATCTGTGGTCAGACCCAGCCCCTCATGAACCTCGGTCACTGGTGTCCTAAAGAGCTCGCGTGTATCGCTCTTTACAAGAGGTAACTCCAGGAGATCATGACCGGTGCAGCTCTACCCCAATGTCTACAATTCAGAGCACGTAGTCTATCAAGTGCTCAATTAGCATCTTCAGACATAACGAGCTTGTTATTTTACACACACCCCACCTGAAGATGGAGGAGAAAGCCCTTTCCCTGCTATAGGAAGGGTGGGAAACAGGAGTGTGGCACGGGAACCCCAGGGAGGCTGCCTGCTCCACCGTGCACTGCTGCGTCCCCAGCATCTAGAAGCAGAGCTGCTCACTAACTGAACAAATGACTGCATCCAAATCAGACACCAGAACGAACAGTAATCTCGGTTTACAGCAGGAACCAGGCAGTGTCGTGGTTCCACGTTTGGCTGCTAACCATAATGTCAGTAGGTCAACAACTACCAGCTGCTCCTCAGGGGGAATGAGGTGACTACAGGGCACTTCTACTCTGTTCTACAGGGTCGCTATGAGTCAGAATGGACTCGGTTTGCTTTGGCAGATTTTATTATTTAGTAGCTTAATTCCAGTCCTAGCCAAACAACCAGAAAACATCCACCATCCCTCCCACAAAGGGCAGCGCAGGCCCTTGCCTACCTTTCGAAGTCGATAACCACTCAACCGCCCCTGACCGGCATCCACCAAGTAGAAGAAGATGGAGGGTGCCAGCTCGTGGAGTTGTCGCAAGACGTTCCGGGTGGCTGGGAAAGCGGTGACCTGGAGGAGCCCAGAGAGCCCAATGAAAGAGCCACAGGAGAAGGCTGGGAATCGCTAAGGCCAGCTTCCCAGACTTCCGACCATTTCCCCACTAGAAGGAGAGCCTGAGGAACAAGACAGGGAGCCTTCAAGGAATCAAGCCCCGCTGGACTCAAGTTGGAATTTAACGTTCGCTCGGTGAAAACCCGAGCTTTGACGAGCGTGGGAGAAAGCTGCGTGAGGCTGCTGCTGGAGTGCACTGTGCTGACGGTACTGGCCCCGTGGATGCCACCCCCCGCCCCCATTCTGAGGCATAGTACCTTGTACTCATCATCGATCAACAGCAACACTTTGGCATAGTCTTGATCCATGATGGGCAGAAGCAACGACTGCAAGATGGGGCGCTTCAGGACTGGGGGAGCCACCTGACTCCACTTCCCAAAAACGGGATTGAAGACATAGAGAGCGCTCACTCCCGTCTCCTGCAAGAGGCGCGCACGCGGTCAGGCCCTACCCGCGTCAAGACAATGCAGATGCTAGGGAGAGCGGGGCTCCAGCTCAAGTGGGCGGACCCCAGTCTCTGCCCTCTCTGGGAAAGAAATCCTGGGCCAAGGGCCAATGGTCTCCGATGCGAACGTCAAAGTGAAAAAGACCACCTGTGGTTCCTAGGCTAACCAAGAACTGGACACACTGAAGGCCCAGTATCAAGCCTGTGACCTTGGGGCAGCCCACTTCAAAAGTGCTGAAAGCCCTTCCCAACAGCCCTAAATTGAATCCCTAAACATCTGCTGGGGGCGTGGGGGTGGAGAGAGACAGAACTTTACATTTCTTGAGTTTTTATTTTAAGCTATACTTTAATGTTTTCAACAGTTTTGCTGACATATAATTCACCTAGCATACGACTCAATACTTCAGTCACATCCAGAAGAGCTGTACAACAATCACCACGATCAGTTTTTGAACATTTTCTTTATTCTTGCACTGAATCATTATTAGCTTCCCATTTTCCCCTAACCCAGCGGTTCTCAACCTGTGGGTCGCAACCCCTTTGGGAGTTGAATGACCCTTTCACAGAGGTCGCCTAAGACCAATGAGAAAACATCTTTCCGATGGTCTTAGGAACCGAGACATCGCTCCTCTATCTGTCTCCAGGCGGATACCCCCACAGACGAGTACCTGGTGTGAAGACTATTATCCATGCTACACCATGCTTCAATACAAAATTTCATTTGTTTGTCATTAGAAATAAATGTTTCACTATAATTACATATTGTTTTCATGATGAATCACTATGCTTTAGGTTCAATTTGTAATAATGAAAATGTATCCTGCAGATCAGATATTTACATGACGATTCCTAACAATAGCAAAATTACAGTTATGAAGTAGTGGTCACCACCACACGAGGAACTGTATGAACGGGTTGCGGCATTAGGAAGGTTGAGAACCACTGCCCTAACCTCTTCTTTACAATCCATTCTTATTCTGGAAGGCAGAGCTCTGAATCCCTTTGTGTCCTGCTCGTCCCCTATACCAAAAAAAGAAATCCTCTCACTGTCCGAGTGGATTGCAATTCACAGCAACCCCGTGGGAGGCAGAGAACTGCCTGCCCGGTGGGTTTGAGACCGGAACGCCTCTGCTGTGAGCAGAAAGCCTCCGTTTTCGAATGCTGACCCTCCAGTGAGCAGCACAACACATGACCCACGATGCCACCAAGGCTCCTCAAGCAGCCACTGACAAAAGCTTACTCTTGGAGGAGGAGAGCTGGCTTACTACTAGTCACAGAAGGCACCGGAGCTCCTGGTCCACTCCACACCAGCACTGGGCACTGCCTCCCCCCAGGCCAAGACTGAGAAGAAACCACACAACCCTAACACAGAAGCCCAAAGGCCTTGGAGAGATTTCCGTTACAAACATCTTAAAAGCCAAGGCCGAACTATGGGTCAAGGGCCTCACCTTGTCCTTCACCAGGAGGGTGCACTGTGGAGGGTGGGGGAAGTGGGCGGTGGTCCTCTGCACCATCAGCGTAAAGGAGGAGTCGGCCTTGACAGTGGGTAGATACTGCTTCCACAGGATGGTGCCAGAGCTGCTCTCAATGCCGAACAGCTGCGAGACACACAAACAATGGCTCGCTCTGAGGAGGACCACCGAAACCTTGATTCTTACCCCTGGAAATGAGAGCCAGTGGATTCCCTTTGTGTCCCGCCCGCCAGACCTCAGAAGGCTGGGTCCGTGGGGCTGAGGCCGCCTCACCTTGCCTGCCGCTGTTGCCGTCACCATCATCTTCTGCAAACTGAATTCATCTCTGGCCAGGGTGTCGATGTTGAGTTCATTCCTAATCTGACTTCGGGGCTTCCGCGCATCATAAAACATTTTCCAGAGGTGGGCTGTCCACGCCTGCAGCAGGATGAGCTGAGACGAGAGGCGTTTCAGGAACATGCCCAGCAAGCCGTCTGGGGTCAAGGAGAAGGTAATGCAGCTGAGGCCCTCAGCAGACTCGCTGTTTCCAGCAGGGAGGGACTGCTTTTCCTAACGAGAGCAGGCTCTCTGCTGCAGGGTGATCAAGTCCTTCACACCCTGGACCACAAGCTCAAGGCACAGGCCTGGTTCAGAGGCCCAAGGGCTCACTCTTAGTCTCGCCATGCAGCAGCCTCCAAATGCACTTACCTGCCTCTGAGCTCCTCCACCTGCGGACACTAAGGGGCTAGGAGTGTGCCGTGCGGGATGCAGCCATGCTGGAATGTCACCACCAGTCTGCATCCAGAGGAGCCAGAAGGCCTCTGGTTGCCATGTCAAAACCAGGGTGCAGATGTAGGTGTATCACGAGCAGGTGCTTCCCTCCCTCCCCCGACCAAACCCCACATCTACCTTACAGATGGGTGTAAAGGGGGCCTGGTGGCACAGTGGTTATGCACTGGGCTGCAACTGCACATCAACAGGTCGAAGCCACCAATTGCTCCCTGGGAAGAAGATAGGGCTCTCTTCTCTCGCCCACTGGGGCAGTCCTACCCTCCACTACAGGTGGCTGAGTGCGCAGTGATGGCAGTGTGTCTGGTTTCACTGAGGCCCCGTCTAACCTGACCCCTCAGGCCTCTGCAGCCGAGCCTGGGACTAGTGTCCACTCTCCATCTTTCAACTCACGAGGCGCTCCCCCTCCAATCGCCTCCATAGAACAGGCGTGTGTTCACATGCAGGGGAGCAAAGTGTAACCTGCCCTGGAGCTTGGCAGTCCTGGAGTCAAACTCCAGCCGCAGTAATGGTTAGTGGCTAACCTTCGACAATGTCCTGGGCTTCCTTGTCTATACAAAGGCGTGTCCTCTGTGGGGCACTTGCAAAGCCTGACATACACACAGGATGGAGCATACTGCCTGGCACAGGGCCGATGTGCCTTCGAAAGGAGTACCACCTCTGCGTATTCAACAGCCACCTCAGCTCCAGGAAGGGACAGCGAGCAGGGCACGTGACAAGCACAGCAGTGGGAACACACGCACGCGCATGCACCTCACTGACACTCAACCAGGGAACACAGTGGGCAGGCAACGAGCAGCAAGGCGGCCAGAAACAGGCTGTACCTTGAATCGCTGGATCCGGGCCGCAGAAACAAACAGTAAAGTCAAGTTAATCCTGGGCTCAAGAAAAGCTGCAGTGCCTAGCAGAGTGCTCGGCCCAGTGCGGGCCCCCGGCAATGATGCTGGGTCAGGGGTAAATGGACAGAGGGCAAAGCTGCACGCTGGCGAAGCGGCTCAGGTCCCTGCAGGGTAGGACTGTGGCTGGCTTCATAGGGCCCGGTTAGACTTGACTTGCTCTGGGAACACTGGCTATCAAGTGCACCGGCAGCTCTGACTACACTAGTCCTGGGGTTCTGCTTCCTCAGGCTCTTTCCCAAGAAGGATGCACAGTCCACTTGTAGAGAAAAGGCTGGCTGTGGAGCCATATGGTGTCCAGGGCACCAGAAAGTAGTCAGAGCCCAGGCAGCCAGGGATGCTGGGAGATGGGATCTGTGGCCTTACGACAAGCCCACTCACTCCCAGAGCAGCCCCTCTGGCAACTCTGCTGTCCCCCTCCCTGAGATTCCTACCTGCCTTCTTGCCAAATTCCCCTTCCAGCTCGGCCTGCGCCCCCGTGAGGGGGAGATCCACCATCTCAAGGCACACCACTTCTGCCAGCGACTCCTCCCGGCTCCACAGCACCACCTTGCCTGCTAGAGAAAGCGACCCTTTAGAGAGTGGAGCCTGCCTCCCCCAGAGGCAAGGGGCCCTTGCAAGGCGAGTGCCAGTAGAATGACAAGCAGAACTCAGAAGCCTACAGGAAGGAGGCCACCTACCCAGCTGCTGCAAGAACAGCAGCAGATGATCCTCCGTCTGCACCAGGGCTCGATAGCCCACGGAGTCATCCTTCTTCAGGAACACCTGGATGTACAGCTGTGAGCACGAGGCAAGACAAATCGCCATCAGCACCAGACGCAACTCAGCTCCAGGCTGCTGCGCCACGTCGGGGCCCGGCGGGGCTGCTGGCTACTTGAGCGAGTACCTCCCACAGCATAACACAGTCTTCAAAGCCAACAAGGGAATGGTGCTGGGCCCACTCAGACCTCCCTCCTGAGCACCGCTCATCCACCCACCTCCCGTGGCTGCCCGCAAAGTGAGGAAGCTGGTCAAAGCTGGTCTTTCCACTCACCACCCAGCCTTAAGAGCCACCGACGCCAAGCAAAGCTAGTTGCACACACAGCCTCTCAACCCCAAAGTCACTAAGTCTTTTGAAGTGAATTCCAGCATAATGTACCACATCCATCAGAAGTTCAGTCTATGTCTCTGAAAACAAGGACTCTTCAAACTATAACTGGTGGTGGTGTCGGCTTGTCAAGTGACGTTGCGCTGGCTCTCATTGTGATACTATGGACAACAGAATAAAACACTGCCCTGTCCTGCGGACGCACAGCCGTAAGCACAGGACCGGACAGTGTTTTGTTCTGTTGGACAGAAGGTCACAATCACGCCTGTGTTCGAGCCCAGGGCTGCAGCCCGTGTCGCTGCAGCCCATCGAGTCTTCCTCTTTGCCGCCGCCGCCACCGCCGGTCACCTTCCACCGGACGTCCTTCTCCAGGTCCGGAGCCTCTGAAGAGCTTCTCCAAAGGAAGTGAGAGGAAACCTTGACGGGCTCACTTCCCAGCCCCGAGCAGCTCTGGAACAGAGTTCCGCGCACACAAAGGCAAGACGGGGCGAGGTGAAGGTGCAGGCTGAGAAGGGAGACAGAGCCGAGCATGGATCCAGGCCCACCTCGCTAGTCGTGTGACTGTGGACAAGGCCAGCATGTCACCAGTTTCCTTATTTGGGTAACAAGGTCAGTAATGCCCTCTCCACAAGACTGCTGAGGGGCTACAGCATCATCACAGGTCAACAGTGCAGCAGTTCTGACACAATGCCTGCCTCTATGGAGCGCAGAAGGATTTATCATGCGCCGGTGGCCCAGAGGAGCCAGAACCCAGGTCCAGAGAGCCCAATCCCAGGGCCCGTGACCTGGTCCTGAGCCGAGCAAGCCCCACGCTATGCCACCCAGGGGCCGGAGTCTGAAGGCCAAGGCTCTGCTCACCCGCTCAGGCCGAGTGCCATTCTGCTCCAGGCTAAACGTGATTGTGGTGTCGAGCAGCCGCCGGCCTGTCTCCACCAGGTAGAGGTTAATGGTGTACGTCTGGTTGAAGCAGGTCAAGGAGTCCTAGGGGTACAGAGAGCGGGCAAGTAACTAGAGGGGACCCCCACCCCCCACCCCTCCAAAAGCAAGGAGCCAGGCCAAAGGAGACAGATGTAAAGGAAGAGAAGGTTAAATCTGAAGGCAGAGAGAAGTCCTTGGTAAATACAATAAAATGCCAAGGCCTATGCTGCTTCTGGGAGGCCCTTAGTGGGACCCACGGTTAGCCTGCAAGCTGGTAACCAAGGGCTAGAGGCCCCAGGCCACTTTGAAGAAGCAAGGAAGAAAGGCCTGGTGATCTGCTCCCCCAAAAGTCAGCCACTGAGAAACCCAAAGAGGACATATTTACATTTTACTTTGTTTCCTTTTTGACACACGGCCTCACCATGCGCAGGAATTGACCCCATGGCAACTGATTTTAATGTTTTCCTAAACAGTCGTCTTAAATTTTTTTCTCAAAAAAGGTTAAAAACATTTTTTTCTCATCGCACTTGCTTCTTTATCTAGCAGTTTCATTGACGTATAATTCAATGACCATATAATTCAAATACCTTAAAACCTATTCTAAAGCGCTGTGCACATTTTGGAAAGGAGTTGGTGTAATGTGGTAGACCTCCCAGGGAGAGGGAAGGCTGTGAACTTGGCCAAGGCAAGAGCCTTTCAGAAACTCAGGTGACAGGAGGCCGCCATTGAGACCTCTATCTCCCACCCCATACCCCACCCCTCCACTTCAGAGCAACCATACCCCCTGCCACTTGCCTCGACCATCGGGCCTCACAAAGGAAAGGGGAGAGGGGAGAGGGGCTAGGAGCAGATTCTAGGGAGTCTACCTAACCTCCCACAACTCAGAAACCCCAGTGGATGCTGGGAACGCTACACCTGCTCACAGCCTAGGCTGCAGCCCATCGTCCCTGGTGGCCCCTTGTCTTCATGTACCACCGCCTACCTTGGGACTTGACTTCTCTGAGCTGCTCCCCACTGACCCATCTTCAGAGCTGCTAGGCTTCTGATGGGGAGAGACAGATAAGAGAAAGTGCGGTCCACGCTCCCTTCACTGAGATGGAGGCTTTCATTTCTGAGGAGCACCACCACCACTACCTCTTCAAAGGCAGGAAACCTCACTCTCACTTTGCCCAGAAAGCTGATGGGACCCCTATGGGGTTGGGTCTGATCTTGGGTGGAGGAGGGGTGCTGACAGTTCTGCAGGTGAAAACTCATTTCTCTACAGCCGCTAGCTCCACGTGACCAGGTCAATGGGCCTAGCCTGCTCACTCTCAGGGTTCCTGGCAGAATCCCCGACAGCCTAGCCGAGTGCTGACTGAGCCTCTCCTTGGTACTCACCGCTTCATTGAGACAGGCCATGACCGCAGCCACTGTCTTCTCGCCAGTGGTGGCAAAGCTCACCAGGGGAGTCTGGGGACAAGGCAAGGTGTTGGTTCACCAGTGGTGCCAGAGCCTCACAAAGGTCACTATTCCCACGTGTCACACCAACTGCCAGTTGGAACGGAAAGTGCCCCAGGCTTTGGGAAATAATTACAAGGAGATGGGAACGCAGGAGAAGACTCTGCTGAAGGCAGAACTCTCCTCAATCTGTACTGCATACAGGGGCGAACCCAAGTCCCAAGATGCTCAATACACACAGGGGAGCCGAGCTTCATGTCCCCACTCCCCGGGAGCTGGTCTGACTGGGGTCCCAGTGGCCCGTGGTTACCTGTGGGAAGTTCCTGAGCAGGCTCAGGGTCTTGTGATGGTAGTGCAGCAGAGCATAGTGGCTGGGGGCTAACTGCAGAAAGAACTGGGCTCGGGGCGGATCCACTGGGTTGGGCTGTGTGGCCAGGATGCGGGGCTGGAATCCACTTCCAAATTCTAAATCGAGAGACTGAGAGACAAGAAGGGCGAGATGGTGACAAGTCGCAGAGCCATTCTGGGCAGCAGTGTTTGCCCCACTTAGCTACTGCCAGTAAAGTAAGTAGGCCACTCGGCTCTGAAGTACACACCCATGTTCCCCAGAGCGGACAGTGGCCCACTTCTCACCACCAGTTCAGACAAAGGCCTGAACATCTTCTGCCAGCTGCCAGCTGCCAGGGCTCAGGGAGGCAGCAGACCCTGGGAAGAAGGATTTCCAGGGAGTCAGGCTCACCTTTCTAAACCGCTAGCAAGACCTTGGGCCCGGCTCGGTGCTGGAGTGCATGGGAAACTCACACTGAGGTAAGTACGACAAGGACTGTACTCCTTAACTTACAACAGAGGGAATCTGGAAAGCTAGTATTCCACAGTAGGAAAGCCTCCACTTTGGTAAGTTAGAGATACAGTCCAAGTATCTGATCCTGCTTTAATATCATTCCCACAGTCTCCCCTAACAGCTCTGCTGCCTTACAGTGAGCACATGGTGGGTTCTGTCTCCCTACAGAAGCAGACGTCCTTTTGCTCTCTCTTCCTGCCGTGTCACCCACCCCCTCACACCTTCCCCCAGTGCAGGTATTAGGCTTCCTCACCTGTGAGCGTGGGGACCTTACTGTAGATACCACCCACCTTGTGACACACGGAACTACTGAATGATGCACGTCTCGTACAGCTACCGATAAATTCTCCAAGATAGTAAAGGTTCTCTCTCCTTCCAGTTCCACGTGCACCATCAAGAGGGGCTGAGGTGAGCATGCTGCCATAAAGCATCTGACTCCCTTATTCAGTCTCTCTTTCCTATTGTCTACGACTTTACTACAACCTTTATGTATTATCGCCGTACAATTGCGCCCACTGGCCCTTCGGTTGTTGGAGGCCGGTCTCCTGACAGGAGCACCTCACCTGCAGCGGGATCTGCCTCAGCTCCCACTCCGTCTCCAGGGCCAAAGTGTGCAGGGCGCGTGTGCTCGGGTCCGGGCACACCAGCACAGCCTCATCCACCACACCACAGGCTCCAGTGAGACTCTGCAGCCAAGGGGTCGAAACCCTGACCTGCAAGGCAAGGGGTCAGAACAGGCTGGCAGAGAATCCCTGCATTCCCTCAGCAGCAGCACCACTGGTAGACTCTACTGGAGGTCCTCTGCTCAGGGTCTCCTTGGTCAGCTCCAAAGCCTTGTCTGTCCCCCCAGGGTCCCCCCACACCAGCCACAAAGCTAAATAGAAGCTGTATGGTCTTTCTGATCAGGCCTGCCACTTCAGGTCAAGGCTCGTCTCCTGCACTTGTCACCCATGATGGCAGGACAGACGAGACCGCCGAGTCCTGGGAAGATAAGCTGTCTCAGGACCCCCGAGTCAGAAGTGCTTCCCTGCTACTACGATTGTGAAGCATTTCCTTATCCTGACAGGCAGCGGCCAGAGGGTGGGTGCACTTTTTTTGAGTGCTTAAATGTGAGGAGGAAACGTGGATAAAGGGAGTCAGCGGACGGTGTAAGACATGAAACTAATAATGATACATTTGAAAAAAAAAAAAGATACATTTGATATATGGATTGTTATAAGAGCCCCCAGTAAAACAATTTATCTTATAAAAAGTTTTCATCTTGTGGATCAAACTAAAAAAGAAACGTGAAGAGAAGGAGAAAGCACGTGGCAGTGACCCGAAGCAGGGACCGTAAGAGGCTTTGGCACGCACATCCACCCAGCCAAGTGCCCGGGCCTGCCAGCCACAGCAGGACTCTCCCAACTCCCGCCCCAATCCCCGTGGCCTCGAGTACCTGCTGAACAATCTCTCCGTCTTCCACGTTGAATTTGACAATGTTCACATGGCTGAAGGGCACAAGCCCGAGGACCCACACGGCCCCCGAGCCGTAGGAGTACACCGTCTGGTAGTGGATGCCGTCGCTATGAGGGGAAGGTAGAGCAGGGCAAGAGCTGCAGTCCCGGGGCTCGGCCAGCCGCAGCGCTCAGGCAAGTGCTACACACTCAGTCCGCAAACAGGTTTGGCTAAATGTACACATTTTTGCTTTAGCTTTAATTTGTTGTCAGCCTTTAAAACCGCGATGACATGTAAAACTCAGATTTCTAGGTTAGCGGTAAAAATTAGAAAATAGGGTCTTACTGGGGCTGACCTACCTTCCTGCCCCGCAACCATCAGCTGAGTAAGACGGCCCCCTCGAGGCAGGCCAGGTACAATTCCCCAGTGATGTACCACAGAGGTATGGCTATAACCTAGGTGGTCTCATAAGAATGTGAGGTTTGGATACCCGCCCTATACTTGGGAAATGAGCACAGGTGGTCTGAACAGATCCCTCCCTCCTGTTCCTGTGCAGCTTCCATGCTTTCCACCGGGACCATCTCCACTCTCACTCAACCCCTACCCAGGCTCTTCTAGAGTCGGCCGGCCAGCTTCGTCTCAGGATGGAGTTCCAGCTGCCTTGGACAGAAATTAAGAAGCCCCATGAACTCTACCCTTGAGTCAGCGAGCCATGTCCCTCCTCAGCTGGCTCTAACTGTGCCCACGCTGGAGAGTTTTCTCCTCCTGGCACAGCATCCTCCAGATGAAGCTCCATTAGGGAGGCCCAGACCTCCATCGGGTGACTTCAACACGCTATATGCCACCCGTGGCCAGCTCCCTCACAACAAATGCCTCGGGACTCTCACGATCACGCGGGAGAAGGCAGCTACCTTTCAGGAAGATGCTCCACCCACTTCGGGTGCCCACTGGAGAGGTGGTAGAGGGACAGCGTGGTCCTCTTCAGGACTGCGGCATACTTCACGGACTGCTGCACTCCCACCAGGCCCAGGGCCTGAAAACTGAGCAGACCACGCCGTGAGGCCCAAGCCCAACCCCAGCCCAACCGCTACTCTGGCACCCATCCAGCAGGGCCAGCCTTCTTGAGAGAAACGGGGTGGGGCTCGAGGGGAGGTTCACCAAATGTTTACTGAATCAATGATTGGAGCACACATAAGCTAACGCACAAGATCCTGTAACCTAAACAGCAACAATGTAACATCACTCAAGCAGTTCTCTACACACAGAATGAAAAGCTTGATACTTATGCCGTTCTGTCCAGAACACTACAAAGCTTGGTCACATTCCACAAGACTTTCCAAGAATAACCCTAGTAGTACAGGGCTCTGCCCCTAACAGGTGCTGGGTTCATGCAGGCCACTTGCTGACTCTTCTGTAGTCCCTGGAAAAGCAGCCAAGTTGCTGTCCGTGCAGTCTCTCCTGCATGCCGGCAGCCTTTAACCAAGCCCAGGTGAAATACAGCTTCTTCCTCTACCTGCCACTGTCCAAGGTTATCTCCCAGTTCAGGCCCCCAATGTTGGTCTCCCAGGAACGCATGATCCGGCCCCCGTTAGACACAGTGATCGCATCTAGAAAAGACAAGACCACGGGGAAATCATCTCCCACACTGCTGCTCTGTCCACTCTTGAGGGTCTGTGGACGGTGGCCTCACCTATGATACACAAGCCCATCACTGTTGGGCAAACCCCTGCCCCTACCAGCTCCTGTACCACAAAGGAAGCGAGGCGGTGGGGAGGAAGGGCTGATACCAGCGAGACCCAGCTGACCAGTGCTTACCCTGACCGTGAAGCAGCATGGCATCCACAGCCCCTTCCGGTGTGCCCTTGTCCACATGGCGCCACACTGCAAGACAGGAGGGTCACACATCACGATGAACAACAGAGAGGCGTCGGGGACAGGCGTCGGGGACGACAGGGCTTTGTGTGCCCAGTGAGTTCCATCTTTGCCAGGTGTGGGAAGGTGGGCAGCAAACTGCCCATGGTTTGCTCCCACCCACTGGCACGTGATGCCCCCACAGGGACGTGCTAACACTCAAGAAGGAAAACAGTGGCTGTATATTCTATTTCTGGGATTTTAATGCCTAGAAAATGCAACCAACATGTCATTTAAGAACAGGAACTTTGCTGCTCTACAGAATCCTGTGGGGTCTTGCAGTGATATCTACTCTGAGGCTCCCAGGGAACCGGGACATTATGCTAGCACTAATAACACCGCTGCTGCTGCTGCTGCTGCTCAATCGATTATTACTCTACTAATAACATGAGTTTCAATAGCATTGATGTTACACACCAGCATTTGACATATCTGCTAATAGCCAAGTCTGAATAGCATTAAGTATTCAAAGATGACCAGACAGAAAACCAAAAAAAGCATCAGGATTCAGGAAGAGTACATCTTTTGGCCAGATTGTCCCTAACTCAGCCACAGGCCATTGTGGATGCAGTGTGTTCAGCTGTGCCACCCGAGCCAACCAGTTAACGCAGGTCACTCACAGATCTCCCCCGTGCGCGAGTTCAAAGCTGCAATCACATTCTTCTCTGTTGCCACCACCAGCTTCTTGGATCCAGGAGAAAATTCCAAGGAGGCAAACTTGAGCTTCCCAACATACTGCTGCCTCCTGAGGAAAGAACACAGAGTGGGAACCAGCGGCCAAAATGACCGCTGCACAAAATACTTAGGAAAAAGCCATGGACCCCATACAAGGTTCGCCAGGTGACCACCAACACACCTTTAGAGAACATGAGAAGCACTTAATAAAGGGATTAAAGCAAGGTTTCTGTACAGTGTAGTCAGAGGAAGGGAACAAGAGAAATGATAAGTCTGCTAAATGCAGCCGTGAGACCCAGACCAGGGGTGGGGGTGGGGGTGCTGGCTGGCAAGTTCCTCACTCGAACAGATAACTGTCCCCTAACAGTGCCCTCGCTGTTCACTGGCAGGACAAAGAACTTGGGTCACGAGCACGGAGGGACGCAAGCCCTGCCCTTAGTGATTATACAATCCAACTTTCCCCTGTTTTCACTGGCTACTGGGGAAAAAATCAGGCAGATCTGCTGAGGAGCCTTGGTGGTGCAATGATTACCCGCTGGGCTGTGATCAAGGTCAGCAGTTCAAAACCACCAAAACCATGTTTCGGGAGAAACATGGGGCTTTCTATTCCCATAAAGAGGTACGGTCTTGAAAACTCACAGGAGCAGTTCTACCCTCTCCTGTAGGGTTGCTATGAGTCGGCAGTGAGTTTTTACGGCCCACAAAATGCCATCCATTGATTGGACCAGTTGTCCTCTGCAGGCCCTACTGGTCCCACACATCTGGAATCCATTTGAATCACGACGCACACTTTTCTTGGAACATAGCCCATCACTCTCAACACTATACGCTAAGTATAGAGTCGAGCTTGTTTCACTGCCAAGTATACAGGAGGCACGTGGCTGCTAATGACGAAATGCTGGCATCTCTAGCCCATAATGACATTTACACTAGATTTCCCTTACCACGCTGTTGCTTGTCCAGTTAAAAAAAAGTAAACCTAACCGGTAATCAAGAGGTTTAACAAAGACAGGTTCACATGCCACCTGGCATTTCCCTGTATTTTCACAAATGCAATTCACTGTACCCAACGGAGGACAAAGAACATAACCCCCATGATGCAGGGGAGAAAACCAGGCCCAGAGAAGCCAATGAAGTACTGTCACAACCAGATCCCAGAGCTAAGAACACCTTCTTTTGAGTCCTATGTGCGTTTGAAATAGTATTATGTCTTCTGCCGGACTACCAAGAAATGCTAGCTCATGAGAAGAGATGTAAAAATACACCCAGGTATAACAAGAAAACTAAACGCACCACAATAAACAAAACAAATAAGGTGTTTAGCAATTTGGTAAAATGTATTTACAAATTTTTCATAACGAGTTCCTGATGAAACGTTGAACTAAAAGAGCTGAAGAGATGTCCAGGGGAGGCTGGAGAAGACAAGCATTGGGGGAAACCCTCCTCAAGTTCAAAGAGTCCTGAAAACTCCCATAGGCAAAATCTCGAACTACACAGGAAGAATTAAAAGCTGGAATACACAGGTTCACTGTGCCAAAGGAAAGTGGGGTACACTGAGCCACGTCAGAGGGTAGCACGTGACCAAATTCAATGACATTTAAAGTTCAAGTGGCTTTGAAGGCAACGCAAACTCAGTGGTCCCTCGTGGGTTTCCAAGACTGTAAATGATCATCGTCTTTGTCCCACAGAGCGGCTGGTAGTTTCAAATGACAACCATGCAGATCCCAGCCCAACTCATAACCACCACACCACCCGGGCTCCTCAGTATGTTTATAATGTATACCCAGGACACTGGGAGCTCCTCCCAGCACTGTTACCAGAACTCAAAACTCTCTCACTGCCGTCCAGGCATTTCGGACTCACAGCGACCAGGCAGTCGAGTAGAACTGCCCCTGTGGGCTTCTGAGACTGTAAACTCTACGGAGCAGAAAGCCCTGTCCTTCTCCCAGGTTACTGTAACATACATTTGTCACGCTGCATCAAGGGCATCAGGTGTGTAACAGGCAGTCAACAAAAGCGAACAAATTTGAGACAGAAAAGATTTCAAAGAAGCGATCGTCTAAGCTGGTCTCTGAAGGACAAACGTTCTTTCAATTAGTAATAATGAGTAACATTTAACGATTGCACGCAATGGACCAGGCATGGTGCTAAAATCACTTAAGGGCTCATTTCGGGCGTCCTCAGAACTACTCCAGAAGGTATGTGGATTCACCCCAAAGCAACTCCACTCTGGGGTTTTAAGCGGTGGGAATCGGCGGGAAAGAACGACCAAATGGCAACTTTTCGATGGTTTGGGGAAAGGTGGGAGGGAGCTGTGCTCTGAGCCTAGGACAAGACTGGGCTGGGAGGAACCATTCCCTGGAGAAAGAGGGGTGAGCAGGCTCAGTTTGGAATTGCTGAGACCCCAGGCCCCAGCCACGTGCGCAGGAAACAGCAGGCCGAGGAGGGGTGGGAATTCGCTGAAAACTAACGACCACCGCAGCCAGCGGATCAGAAACCTAACCGTCGCATAAATGGCGCCTGTCGAAGGAGGACGGGCCGGTGACTTTGGAACCCGGCTCCAAGCGCGCCTGGAGGACAAGGCCGGCTTCGCGGGCTGGCCTTGACTTCATCTGCGTGCGGCCTACACGGCCGAACGGGGGACCCTCCTTAGAGAGGGCCCGTGATCAGCTGCAAGTTCTGCGGTCGCCGTCTTAATATCCTCAATACACGCTCCAGAGCAGCCGGCACATTTTCGCTCTGCACCGCGTCCCACACGTAGGTCCCGCGGGATGGCGAACCCTTCTCCTTCACAAGCTCACTGCCATCCGGCCGGTGCTGATGCTTAGCCACCCGGAGGAAACCGGTCGGGGGCCAACCGTCGCCCACCTCCAGAATCGGCCCTGCGCATACGCACCAATCGAACTTGCCCACTTGGTCTTCGTAGACGGCGGCCGCGGGGAGAAGGGATAAAGCCACGAGCCAGCAGCTGGACACCAGCGCGGCCGCCA